GGCAGTGATCATTCTTGACCAAGAGGGATCTCCACCGACAAGATTCCACTCCTTTTTGTCAAAGTGGATATAGTCTCCCAGGTGTGATTCTATTATGCTGTTCTTGCATGCCACCATAAAAGCAGTGAAGAGACTGCCCACATTTTAAATTAAAAGTTTCTTATTACTTGTGAACCATGCACAATAGAATCTTCCTTAAACCCATAAGTCCATTTAGTAGTCTGATAGTCCCCTGAGGAGTCAAAAACTGAGCAAATTTTGGAGCAATGCACTAGAAGATTCTCAGCTATGAAGACTGAGAATGCATGTGTAAGGGAGAACAAGAATGAATCTAACAAGTTACCAACTGTGACTCCCCGAACCTACTCCTCTTCACAAGTTACAGTTGCAAGTGAACATATGTAACTTTGGTCTGAGGTTCCTCCAAGTCCTATACTGGTATAGAATTTAGTGCAGCTGAATCAAGGCCCTATTTTTGCCTTTGGAATACCCCTGACATTATGGTCAAGGGGAAAGGTTAGCATAGGCAGTGAGTATCTGCCTCTGCAAGCTTTCCACCCACTGAGAGTTCTCCAGCATAAGGCAGTAGGGGTGGAAAGATTCACTGTTAGCCTTTTCTGGATATTTCCAGTCTGCTTTCTGCCCCTGAAGATGCCCCAAGTGGACTTAGTGGACTTTAGTATTCCTAAATTTCAGCTCTAAGGTGTTTCAAATCTCTTGAGTTCCCCAAAAGATGAAAGGCCCCCAAATATAGTGGGGTCACCCACCATTTTGTTTATAGATACCTTAAAGAAAACTCAATCACTTTCATTATAATGATTTTATATAGTCTACGCTATGACAACAGTGTTAGTGTAATATGACAGATTTATGATCATTTCAGTTTCATTATGTAATTTTACATTAATGTCTGTGTAGTTTATATAATTCACTTGAGTGTTTTTGTGGCATTCTGTTTTCTTGGGAAGAAATTCTATTATGTAAATGTCTTTCAGTCCAAATTAATAGGGCTATTCATGTGTGATTTGGATGGTAATTATATCATGTTATATTAATTTTTAACAAAATCAGGTATCAATGTTTCTTAGCATATATCAAGATCCATACCTAATTTAGAGTGCCGGGCTATTTTTTTGGAGGATAGGAATTGTTCAAAAACTGTGTCATTGTAGGCATTTTTAAAAGAAGGTTTGTATCAGGTGGCTTGTTCAATAGCAATAAGATTTTCATCTCCCATTGTATAATACCACACTGAAGCAGGTCTGTGAATAAAATCTTGAGGACAGGAAAGCACACAGAAAACCTGTAATCTTCTCACAAGGTGCAGTACCCTTATTCTACTCATAAGGTATTATAAATTACCTTTATGCATATTGTAATATTTAACTACATTCCACAATTTTTCCTATCTAACCCTCTACTTTTAAGTTAGACTATTATAAACTCAGACATTGTGCTGAAGATTGAATAAAAGGCCACTTTAGAATCCCTCGTTATCTTCTTTACATTTTATAAAGGGTTTGTACTGTGAAGGTTTCACATCTCCAAACTCTTTTTAGGAATTTCTTTGTGAGTATTCAAACCTTTATATAAAGGAGCATATAACATAGTATTATGGGGGTTGGGGAGGGAATGGTGGAATAATAATGCTTGAAGATCCTAACACAGGTGCTGTACAAAATATTACATAAAAATATAGTAAGGAGTACTTTCTATCTAATTTCAGTGCAGGTGTCTTTAGATATGTTCATATTTTTATTTTTTGGTTATGTTTACGAAGCATTGATTACAAGGCAACTTGAAGCTGAATTTTAAATTATGTTACACTCATGCAGCACGGTCCAGCTTCTAAATTCAGGTATTCCTTGGTGTCTCACTAAAGCTAATGGGTCAAAACCATGATGTAACTCCATTGTCTTCAGTGAATTTGCCTTGTTAAAGGAGAATCAAATTTGGTTTAAGATATTGATGGAGTGTGACAGGAGTATCGCTATCAGAGCCTTTCTGGGAGTGACTCCACCCTCCTGTGATGGGCCAACCACCTGCTTACTCACCTGCCACACCTTGATCTTAATTGACTAATTGATTGGTGTAATTTTATTGATTGGTAGTCATTTTATGTGCCCCAGTGCCAGAGGTCACTACCTGTGGCTCCTTTTCTCCCCTACACTGCAGCCCAAGCCTCGCAGATGGTACTGACGTGGTTTGACCTGGGCCCTGTTATGCCTTGGCCCTCTCCTTTACTTCCGGCGCTCCTCACTGCTGCCCCCTTGCTCTGGGGCTCCTCACCACCCCCCTCTCACTCTGGAGCTCCTCCCTGCCCCCCTCTCGCTCTGGGGCTGGGGCCAATGCACCCCCCCAAACCGCTGCACCCTCTCTGGCGCCAGGGTCCCCATGCTACTGTGGAGCTCCTATGAGGCCTCCTCTAACCCGTAATAGCCGCACCCAGTCTTCCGGTCAAAATAGTAAACAGAAGAACACAAAGCCCCTGGGCTACAACATAAAAGCTAGACCATCCAGTCAAACAAGATTCAATCCTTACTAGAGAGAGAACTCGAGCTCCCCAACCCCAGCAGCAACCAGGGATGTTCCCACCATCAGAGTTCTCCCCTTCCTAGCCGAGTTCTTACTCCCTGGGCTGCTGGAGAGGAACTACCCTCCTGGCCTCCTTCCTGGGCTTAAGAAGGGCTAAGCCCTGCCCCTTCCTGTCAGCTGGTTTCACTGGTTGCCCCAGCAACCAGCACCTGCGCAGCCCTGGTGACTGGCAGCTGAGCCTCCCCCTTCCCACCACTAGGGGTCTGTCCCGAGCCGTCTCTGCTTTCAGGCGCAGGGCACCTGAGTGCTCTGCGACATGGGGCTGTAACAGAAACCAGAACTTTACCTAAATGTTCTTTATTTAGTGAATTAAGTTAACAGAATGTGATGCATCAGCATTAATTTATAGACAGGCTTTCAATTTCAGAACCATCTCCTGATTTTTTTTTTCAGTTTCAGAAGTCTCAAATGAAAATAATTGCTTTGTTAGCTGCTTCTAATCCAGAACAGGCAAACATTAAACATCAAGTCTAAACTTTCAAAAATCAAATTGCCTAATCTTCAGCTGACTTCTGTTTCAGATCAATTCTGTTTCAACTGAAGGAATGAATGCCCAACATGCTATTAAATCATACAACATAACAATGGATACTACTCAGAAATGTTTTCAATAAGTATTGCATGGTGATCTAATAATAACAAAGTAAACAAAACAATTTTAAAGAAAATAATTTAGACATTGTGGAAAAATAAGTTAATAGCCACCAAACAAGAGGATTTGGGGCACAATTCTTGTTGTGTTTCTTGTTGCCTCATACCTGATGGCTTAGAAATGTTATTTAAAAGGTTTGTTTTTGGGAATTGATTTATAGGTATATGTATATGCATTAGACTCTGATGACAGCCCTAGGATTTGGTAGATATATAGAATTGCTTGATTGTTTGTATTGCTTCTTTTTTGTTATCACTATGTATCAATAAATTTGCCTATTATTGAATGGATAGGTTGTGATTGATCTGAGGGTGGATCTGGGAGTGTCTGGGTGGGTACCCCCACCCCAAGAAAAAGGTACCCCCTACCCCAAGACCAAGGCCTCTGAGTCCTAAATCCAGAGCCAGAAATACCCTTTTAAGTTACATCCATAGAAAATGACAGCCTAGTAGGTTTGCAATTGACTAAATCACAAAAATAGAGTTTTACACCAGCTCTACATTTTCTTCAAATAAGAATAAGTGCAGGATGTGTTAAATCTCATATATATAACCCTGAAGAACCCAAACAAATAATCAGATCTGGTCTCTTGTATAATGTAGTCATATTAACCATGTATTTTGGGCAGATATCAAAACATGATGTATGTCTTAGCCTCTTGCGGAGGGTTTGGGATTGAGAGTATGGTTGGGGGTAAAAAGGTAAGAAAGGTTTATTGACTTAACAAAAACATAACTATGTGTAGTAACAAGACAAACACTGACAGACAAGAATAATTTGTGTTGGTAACTTATTGGCAGTGTTCCCCAATGCTTGATGTACGACAAGTTTTTCTTTCTACAAAGTTTAGCAAAGTTAGGTGTTGTCTGAGAGGTACTGGGAAGGACCCTGGTATTTAGTCTTTGGGCTGTTTGAGATCTACAGGACCACTGATCTAGGTCAACAGCTAATTAATCTTTTTTACAGAGCTGTATCTTCTTTCTGAATGAGTTCCAGATGTTTTAGCCAGTTTATAACTTCTGAACTGTGCTGATAACTTACAGCCATTCAGATTCTTTTTAGTGTAACTGTCTTTAGACTGACTAATAGCAGTACAAGCCTTGCATTCTTTTGATATAGTTAATTGTAACTATGCCACAGGGCCTTACTACTTCAAGGCTTTGCTAAATTTACTAGGCCTTACTTTACACAAGGCCTTACTACATCTTAAACTTTAATTAGGTTCTTAGCAGCAACATATAGCTTAATATCTAAACAAATGACAGAAAAACACTTGGTCTAATCTTCATAGAGCCTTCAGCAAGTACCTTTATCACACAAACATAATTTCACTTGTCATACTCTACCCTTTGCTTTCTGAAGCACTATGATAGCTACAGTTGAGATGCTAAAACTATACACGCTACATCAGGGAATGGGGAGGGATCTTAATCTGTGACCTCCACCAGGGTGTGGAGTTATACATGGCACGGGCGGTGCCGGGGCCTCCTATGGGGGAACAGCCAGAGATAATAGTGAACACTCTGTTTTTTCATAGATCATAGTTATCTTTCTCTCCTTGGGAGCCTGTAACTATGCTTCACTTCCCAGAGAGTGAAAGAGATCTCACTGTTGCTTCTGGGGACAATGCTATACTGGGTTGATGAAATGGCACTGCCCTGGCAGAATCATAGCGCTAATTTGCTTTTGGAACCTTACTGGTATGAAAGGATGGGGATAGGTGGTGGAGACTTGCAGATACAGCCTCCTTTTAGTTGCATTAAAGTGGGTACTATTCTACTACGCCTTTCATAGTTTCATAGTTTCAGGGTCGGATGGGACCTAGTAGATCTTCTAGCCCAAACCCCCGCCAGGGCGGGAGAACAACAAAACCCCAAAAACAAGAAACGGGACTCAAATGAGTCCAGCCAGGTAGGCATCCAGCCTCTTCTTAAAGACCCCCAGGGTAGGGGCCAGCACCACTTCCCTTGGAAGTTGGTTCCAGCTCCTAGCCGCCCTAACTGTGAAGTAGTTTTTGCGGATGTCCAATCTATACCTCCTCTCCATCAACTTGTGCCCATTACTCCTTGTTATGCCAGCGGGCGCTAGGGGAAACAGCGTCTCCCCCAAACCCTTCTGGTCCCCCCTAGTGAGTTTATAGACGGTCACCAGGTCCCCCCTCAGCCTTCTCTTGTGGAGGCTGAATAGGTTCAGGTCCCGCAGTCTCTCACTGTAGGGTCTGCCCTGTTGTCCCCGGATCATGCGGGTGGCCCTCCTCTGGACCCTCTCCATGTTGTCCACATCCCTCTTGAAATGGGGCGCACAGAACTGGACACAATACTCCAGCTGTGGCCTGACCAGCGTCGCGTAGAGGGGGAGGATCACCTCCTTGGCTCTACTCGAGATGCACCTGTGGATGCACGACAAGGTCCGGTTAGCCCTGCCAACCATGACCTCGCATTGTCGGCCCATGTTCATCTTGGAGTCAATAATGACTCCAAGATCTCTTTCTGCCTCCGTGCTCTCAAGTAGGGAGTTCCCCATTGTGTAAGTGTGCTGCTGGTTCCTACTGCCCAAGTGCAGCACCCTGCACTTGTCCGTATTGAAACGCATCCTGTTCCTGTTAGCCCACCCCTGTAACCTATCCAGATCCCTCTGCAATCTCTCCCTCCCTGCTAGCGTGCTCACCTCCCCCCAGATTTTGGTGTCATCAGCGAATTTAAACAGGTTACTTTCCACCCCATCATCCAGATCGCTGATGAAGAAATTGAACAGCGCAGGCCCCAGGACCGAGCCCTGGGGGACTCCGCTACCCACCTCCCCCCAGGTCGAATATGACCCATCCACCACCACCCTCTGAGTGCGACCCCTCAGCCAATCTGCAATCCATCTGACTGTGTAGGCATCTATGCCACAGTCGCCTAGTTTTTTAACTAGGTTGGGGTGAGAGACGGTGTCAAAGGCCTTGCTGAAGTCCAGAAAGACTACATCCACCACGACACCATTGTATAGGTATGATTCACAAACCATGTAATAACTTTGTTCCAACCTGTAATGCCCACCTGGTGGGCTTCACACCATCACTGGAGAGTGTTGTCAGTCATAGGAATGGGAGGGGACAGATTCTCTCATAAACACAGTGGCTCAAGAGGCTGAACGGATGCAGAATGCAGAATTGGGGGCACAGACTCAGGGGCGTTGAGCTCAATGGGATTTCCCTCAGGAAGTATGTAACAACAAACTCTCAAACGAGTAGAGCTACAACAATTACCTCTCTTCCCACAGTTAGCCATTTCAGCCTTCAGGTAGGGAATGTACTCAAGATAATAACTGGTGCCACAGGTGCACTGACAGTTACCACTTCATTTGTCTACTATCTTGTTTCTTGTACTCAGAGACCAGGACTTCTCTTACTTTGGGGTGCTGGGTTTTTTTCCAGTATGGGTACTGTAGCTGGACCATGTGAAGGTCATCTGAGCACGTTTCTGGGGGATGGTCTTCAGGGTCAGGCCACTCCTTGAGGCCTTCAGGAGCAAGTTCATTAATATCTGGATAATAAGTAGGACAGTAGACATATCCTATCCAGGAAACACAATAAGGCATTAACAAGAAGAATATAGTTATAACAATTTACCACTTTATGGTGCCAGTCAGTTTAGACTGGTGACAGAGGAAGACTCATTTTCAGTGGTAGGCTCAATTAGGAATGGTTATGGCTGCATTTGTGGACAGATCTAATCTGTAGGAACAAGACAACAAGTAGTTTGGCTCCTGTTAGATGAATCTGACTTAAATACCCACCATGTATTATGCATACCTTTTGCTAATAATGTCCTCTCCCATTTATCTCCCTGAGGATGGTTCAATACCACCTGACCTCCTGCCTGGAACTTTCCTGGGTCACCATCCCTAGGTTGCTCTACTGCTGGCTTATGGGGACGACCTAATCCAAAGGCCTGTTGCATAGGGCTACTTCCTGGATGGGGTCAGTTATTGGCCCAATTGATAGCTTGATCCAAGTGCAAGTCTCAGCCCTTAAGAGCCGGGCGAGCGGCCAACCACAAATTGCATTACAGGATGCCATTGTCTTGCTCTACCAATCCGTTAGACTGCGGATAGTATGGGATATGATATGTCTATAACATGCCATGTTTTGTGGTCCAGTTATATATAAAATGATTGTGGAAGTGAGGCCCATTATTGCTCTGTAGTTCTATAGTTGGTGGATACACAGCTAGCAGTGTTTCCAGTGCTGCACAAGTGTCCTGGGCTGTAACTCTTGCTGAGACCCGGGCAAACATTATTCCTGTGGCAACTTCTACAGCTACAAACACATACTGTTGCTTCCAGGAAGTCCAAGGAAGGGGGCCTATGAAATCACATTGCCATACCTGCCATGCTACCTTTCCCTCAGGTAATGATAACAGGACAGTCGGGCAGGGTTTTAGTTGCATTTTGACCTCATGGCAGGTGATGCATGCATCAACTATTCCTTGTCCTTCTTTTTTAGTTACATGAATGCCCCAAGATGTGGCCAGGTGGGTGGTTCTATCACTCTCGGGGTGCCTGTGTTGTCGATGTAGCCATTCTGCAGCTCATTCTCTAGGTGTACAGTGGGAGGAGGAATAGGGCAATGATGGACTAGTTGCTTTATTTTCTTCTTTAACATACAACGTTTCAGCGCCCTCTTCTGATCAACTTGCTTATTCTACTTTGCCTCCAGGCCTTCTCCTGCTTTATTCTCGTCTGCTGCACTCACATGTTGGATGTGTAGAGGAAGCTTATCTTGGGCTGACTTCTATAAGGTCTCCCATTCCTCCTGACTCTAAATGTCTTGTCCTTGTCTTTTAAAGTTTTCTTTGTTCTTTAGGGGTAGCCATTTAGTACATCCTTCTGCTACCATCCAGGAGTCACTATAAATATAAATGGGCTTTACAGGACATGGACCTTCTACTAATTCCCACACAGCCACGCCGAGCACTGCTTTGAACTTGGCATACTGCATGCTTTTTCTGAGGCCTTGTAATACTACTTGCTTCCAATCTGAAATCCTCAAGCAGCTGCTCTTCAGGCACGAACTTGAGCAGACTCATCTGTAAGCCAGACTTCAACATCAGCTGAGGTCTCCATTTCAGGCGAGAAAGGAGGTGCTTATTTCATGGGTGAAGGTTCACTGCAGCTTGTTTGATCGGGATAAACGTTAATTGTACTTTCTGTGACTCTTTCAACTAATGCAGGGAATCCCTTTGAGGTTACTTATTGGACTTGGCTCAAAATGTAATAAATGCACTTTTGGACCGTGATGTCTTGGGCTCTCCCCCCAGGTGGTAGCTGGTGGTCTGATAGAACCATTCCAAGAATAGGTATTGGAGTAGTGATAACTATGGGTAATTCTCCTCTCAGTGCTTCTGTAGATTCCAGGGCCATTGTTGCTGCACACAACATCTGTTCTAAGAGAGTATACCATGCTTTCACCCCTCTCCAGCCTTGGCTCCAGAATCCAAGCGGTTTTCTTTCTGCTTCTTAGGACTCCTTCTGCCACAGTCTCCAATGTGGTCCGCCTTCCAAGACACCTATATGGAGCAAAATCTCTCCTTCGGGATGTCGTGCTGCTAGGGAAGCATGAACAGTTACCACTTCTTTAAGGACTTGTAAAGCATATTTATGCTTAGGACCCCATTCCCATTTAGTTCTCTTCTTACATAGGTTATACAAGGGACAAGCTAATAAACTAAACTCAGGAACATGCAGACACTAAAAATTGAGTGCTTCCAATTGGGCTTGCAGTTCTTTCACATTAATGGGAGTTGGGGTCTCTACTATATTTTGCAGCCCTTCAGCTGGTATTGTGAGCCCCCCATTCTGCTATTCTGTTCCTACAAATTCACACTGGGGCCCTACTTTTTGTATTTTCCTTTCAGACAGTGTGAATCCAAAGGTACGCAATTTTTCTTTTAATGATTCAAAGGCCTTGATGGCAACCTCTCTGTCTTGACTGCCTACCATGACGTCATCTATATACTGCCACATAAGTATGTCGGGGTACTTTTCTTGGACTTCATGAACTATTGTAGCTAAAACACCATAAGCCAGGGTAGGGCTGTGTATCCACCCCTGGGGCAACACAGTGTAGGTATACTTGTGCTCTATCCATGTGAAAACAAATAATGGCCAGTGACTCTCATGGATGGGAATAGCAAAAAACATGTCCTTCATATCAATGGATCCCATTCATGCAGGCCCATAACACCAGATGCTTTCTGTCAAGGCTGGTAGTGATGGGATGGCAGCCGTCAAAGAGTCCGTATTAGCATTCAAAGTTTGGAAGTCAGTAGTCAGCCGCCACCCTCCATTTGGCTTGAGCACTGGCTACACTGGATTGTTATATGGAGAGTGGGTTCGGATAATAGTCCTGTCTTCGAACTGCTAACTTATGATATGCTGGATAGGTTGAGTGGCCTTGGGGGGGAGTTCGATACTGGGGTCTGTGTACTCCTTTCATGGGAGGCAGGGTTAGTGGGATCATGCTACATCGAGTTACAGCTGTTATAGCTGTTTCTTCTGGTTCCTGGTGAGGCACTGAACACTCAAACTGCTAATTGTCTCGCTTAAGGGCAAACAGCTGTCTTCTTAGTACATTAAGTCCTAGTAAGCTTGGTCTCCCTTTAAGTATTACTGCTGCCTCCGTTACTTTAGAGCCATTAGGTAGCCCAAAGATCGCTCCGACCAGATGTCCTGGCCGTCTAGTGCTTCCGACTCCAGTTACTTTATAAGGGGTTCCTTCTTCCCCCTTCTAATCCATGGAATCTAAAATGCAAAT